ATTAGAAGAAGCATTTCACTACAGCTTTAACATATTCAATAACGCACTCCAGAGTAAGAGTACATCTCTTTCACAAGTGGGTGCAAGTTCCTAAGTTCACAGTTGAATTAATATAGTTATACAATATTGAACTCAGTATAAACCCTGTAAGATATAAAATTGAATGAGTTTTTAGCCTTTAAAGATCTCCATTTCAAGATATGCTGTTTCCTACATTTTAAATATTGTTTATTATTTTTTAGAAGAAGCATATCATTACAGTTTTAACATGCACAGTAACAGTTTCCAGAGCAAAGACACAGCTCCTTCAAAAGTGTCTATAAAATTTCTAGGTTTGCTGTTGAATCAATACAGTTATACAATATCGAACTCAGTATAAGCCCTGTAAGACATAAAATTGAATGAGCTTTTAGCCCTCAAAAGAGATCTCCATTTCATTCTAAAATATACTGTTTTTTACAGAAAGGTGCATTGTTTTTGCTACTAATACCAAGATGTTGGCACATGCATCTCTAATATGTATATATCTGATTATTACCAGTCATAATCATTTGTACTCGGATCCTTGGCACCTGTGTGTGTCTATAAAGTCATCGGGTAGATTTCAGTGGTAATGTTCATCACCTCTACTAATTAACATGACGAAAACTTTTATGCTTCCTCCTCAAATACAATAATTTTTTTTAATTTGTTGATTTTTTTTCTGTGTGTGTATATCACACAGAACATCCCAAACCGTCTTATTCAACTATACACCCACTTCCCAGATGGCACCCTCTCATAGCCTCCCTCCCCCACTAGAGCTCTTATACTCTGATATCCCTGCTACTGTCTGCTGTGTTGTCAGCACCCCAGCCATTCCCCACTACTTGCCCTCCTGGTGAATCTAGTCAGTCTATCTAGAGGTCTTTGTTTTAGGAGGATCATCTGTTCCTCATCTAGCGGTAATCAGTTGTCAATATTCCTTTGGATAAGATTGGGGCCTGCAGTTCATTTTCCCGGTTCTATCCTGGGTTACTATCTGGGAGTCCCTTGGGCCACCCTGGCCAACAATTCAAAAGAAGGTATCTCCTATCTGGCATTGTTGCTTGTAATGTAGCCTTTAACTATACATATGGACTCTTATGAAATTATATTGGCTCCTTTAATCTTTGGTTGTATTTTCCTTTTGGATATTTAAGGCCATACAGTTGGCCAAGATAAACCAATTTATTTTTACTCTTAAGGTCATTTGAGGATCTGTTCCTCAGGGGTCACATGGGCTTGGAAGGAGCCCCTGGCTCCTTTCTTTTACCAGTTCCATCTATGTGAAGATAAGTCAAAGGTCCTGCTCGACCATGGCTGGCTTTGCTTGCAAGCATGGAGGAAATGATTCTTCTGTGTTGACCCTCCTCTTTGTGGACTGGACACTGGTTCATGACCATCTTGTGGGGTGTCCTTGGCCTCCTTGATCAAGAGGACAGGTGACCCACCACAATTACAGGACATTTTGGTAGATGCTCATAGTCCCCTGGAACTAGTCAACCTAGGAGGGCAAGGAGCAGAAAGTGTCCTTTATGTCCCTCTGACCAAATTAGTATAGGCCTCAAAGTATGGCTGTTAAACATCCAAGAAGGTTAGTTCCACCAGTCTGGTACTTTTAATTACTGTGTGCCGTGTAGATT